TGAGAGAAGATGGGAAAACATGCAGAAGTATGTACTCTGATAATTCCTCACAGACTTTTCTCTACCAGATGTAGATTTGTAGAAGGGTCCTAACAAATTCCACGTTTGTAGTTTACTGTTATAATACAGTTGTATTGTTACACCTGCCTATATTTTTGCCCATTTCTTCCAATGATATCATCAGACCTAATAAAAACTGTTGCTTCTCCCTGCATGATACATTTGCTGTAGATGTGCTTTAACCAAACACCATCAACTCTTCTCAGATAAAGACATTTGCCGTTCAGTTGACCATGGCTGTGAACACGTTTGTGTTAATGCTGATGAGTCATACATCTGCCAGTGTTACGAGGGATTTGCACTGAGGGAAGATGGAAAAACATGTAGAAGTAAGTATCCTTCAGTTTAATAGAAGATTTCCATTATAATCTGTGCATTTTTAGACATGTTTTAAATACCGGCAACCTTGTTTTTTTCCAGATAAAGATGTTTGCAATTCTGTTGACCATGGCTGTGAGCATGTTTGTGTGAATACTGACAGTTCATACATTTGCCAGTGCTATGAGGGTTTTGTATTGAGGGAAGATGAGAAAACGTGTAAAAGTAAGTTATTTGATGTTAATGTATTTTTTGCCCTCAGAGGCCTACTGAAGAACCATATTGTGTTAGAGGTAGGTCTTTTTATAGGGGATTTTACCTGACAAAAAGGAGGATAAATTCTTTATTTGCTGGGATCTTACTACTTTTACTCTTTAAAGTTTTGGAAATGTTCTCATTCATCAAACTGTAGTAAATAAAATCTAAATTATTCCTAGATAAAGACATCTGCAAATCAGTGAATCATGGCTGTGAACATCTTTGTGTTAATAATGACGATTCATACACTTGCCAATGTCATGATGGATTTGTACTGAGGCAAGATGGGAAAACATGCCGAAGTAAGTAGTTTATGAATAAAAGAAGAAATTTAATTTTCCTTTTATTAGGAGATTATTCACTGACTCATAGTGGTCAGAATGGAATATTGTTCTCTATAGATCATAAGATTTCTGTGAATTATTGTTTGAACTACAGGTGTATTTCAGAAAATCAGCCAATTTTAAGGTTCGGATGTAGCTTTTAAAATATGTGAACTTCATTTCTAGATTGAGTATGCCGAGTTTTAATCTTGAGCACAGGATGTTGCTGCATTTTACTTTGATGGGTGGACATTCTAATTGCTACTGTGGTGTTCTGTGTGTATTCATGCAGACCATGACTTAACCTCTTACTATGTCCTTTTGTAAATGACAAGCAGATGAAACTCCTTTAGGCTCTTTATATGTTTTTCAGTCTTTTCCTAAGTCTCTTCTTGCTCTCTTAAAACCTCTGCTATTCATCAGCATCCTTGTGGGAACATCACAGTGGTACAAAGTCTTTTAATAGGAGGCACAGCAGAGTCCAGGGTAGGGGAAGTGTAGCGCACCTAATTACTATTTGAATCTACCTATATTTTTTTAATCTTTTTTTTTAAATCTATCTTTTTTTATGACCAAAGATAGCGTTAGTCTGTGACCAAAATACTCTGCTAGTGCTCATGTTCAGTCAGTTATCTATCATGATCATAAGCTGTTTAAGACTCTCAGTCACGTAGGTGTCCCACATTCTGTAAGTACAGCCTTTATTCTTTGTTTCTAAATGTATAGGCTTAGTTCTGGCTATTTCAAAATACATATGATTTGCTGTTATCCAGTTTGCAAAAAGATTCATGTGTCCTTATATCAACGGCTGCTCTTTTTATTTGCCATTCTCTCAAAATTGGAGTAACCCACAAACTGTGTCAGTGATTATTTTGTATTTTCTTTTGGGTTGTTCTTAAAACTGTTAAGCAGTAGAGGAGCAGGGCAAATTCTTAGAACGCAAGCCAGTTGATGTTCTTCCATTTACAATTTCCTCTGAAGACCTCTGTAGCCGGTGTTAATCCATATAACTTTGACTCTGTAGTCTGTTTTCTTAATCGAAATAAATACCAAGACTGCTGCCTTACTGAATGCTCCTTTGTGTGAACAGCATCAGCTTTATGAATCAGCCTCCTAATCAATTGAAAAAGATACTTTTTTAGTTTTCCAGGATCTATTTTTTCCACAATACCAAGTCGATTGATACTAATTTTTGTTCTTTGATTTTACTCTGAATCAAGTTCCATATTATCTATTCCATTATTTAATGCAAATCAATGTGAAGCTGACAGGATTACAGTGAACTAGTTATCCTTTTCAGACACTGCAACAATAATATTTTTTCAGTGTGTGTGCATGCACTGGGGATGGAAACTGCTCAGTGTTTTGGAGCTTCCTTGGAGTTCTAGGAGTTACTGAAAAATAACTCTAAGCATTCAAGTTGTTCTTCAGCTATGTTTTTTACAACTTTTCACTGCAAGTTATCTGGAGTCACTGGTCGTAAAATGTATGTGTTCAGTACGTGCTGTGTGACCCACTGATCAGCTGATAAGCTCTCCAGGGAGACCTTCTAGTAGCCTTCCAGTGCTTAAAGGAGGCCTACAAGGAAGCTGGAGAGGGACTTTTTACAAGGGCATGGAGTGATAGGACAAGGGGTAATGACTTTAAACTGAAAGAGGGGAGATTTAGATTAGATATAAGGAAGACGTTCTTCATTATGAGGGTGGTGAGGCACTGGAACAGGTTGCCCAGAGAAGTTGTAGATGCCCCATCCCTGGAAGTGTTCAAAGCCAGGTGGGATGAGGCATTGGGCAACCTGGTCCAGTGGAGGGTTTCCCTGCCCATGGCACGGGGGTTAGAACTAGATGATTGTTAAAGTCCCTTCCAACCCAAATCATTCTGTGATTCTATGATGAAACTCTTCACGCCAACAGTATCATCAGTAGCCTATTTCATAAGTTTAGATCTGAATATACTAAATATTTTTACCATTTCTGCATTAAGATTGGCAATTCTGCCATTTTTATCTGTTAATTAACAATACATTGTGAGAATGCTTTTTGTTCTTAATGGTCTTTAAATAACTTACTCATGCTATCCTTTGTTTTGTTGGCCATGCATCCCCTTGTCCTTTAGCTTATTATTTCAGTGTTTTCAAATTCCTAGTATTTTCATGTTCAGTAAATTCTGTGAATGGTGCTTTCTTTCAATCGTTACTCAAAACTTATAGCTGTTTTCAATTTCAAAATGAGGTTGCTTTTTTAATTACTCTGGCATTCTTTTTAGATTATGGGACTACATTTTTTGGGGGGTATCTAGTAAAATAAATAGTGCAATCATAATTCACTTTTTTAAAAATTATTTCCCCTCCCATCCTAAAATACTTTGGCAAAATACTTTGGCTTTCAGCTGTCTAAAATTCATCCTTTTGAAGTAATTGCCATGCCTCCTGCTGGTTTATATTTAATTCTGTTTATAAACAATAAATGTGTCTGAATTGCACACAGCTGTGTATAAGCTGATGCTAATTTTTACTTATATGATTGTTTCTTCTTTATCTACTATAACAGGATCTAGTTTAGATTGCTATGTCTTGAATGCAGTGCTTGTGGGTTTAGAAGATTGTCCTCTGTAATATTTTTTAGCATTTTTGTATTGCCAGCACGAGACTTCTATGTAATTTGGCTCATATTGAAGTTCTTGTGAAAATGTAAGCTTTTCTTCAGTACCCATTAAACGTAGGTATTTTGCTGAAGAGTCAATCTGAACTTGGCTGTCAGTACTGTTGTGCTTTCTATATAAAGGTAGTTCTCCATTAGCAATTGAGAGTATTTTCTTTTGTGTTGCACTGAAAAAGAAACAGGGAATGAGATAGATGGCTCCACTTCCTTCTGTACTCTCTCCCCATCTATTCTTCTTTAAGAGGTTTTAACCAGCTGGTTTTAACATTGCAGTCATACTAATCCTCCCATCTATTTTCAGCAATACGAGTTAGATTTTATTTATCCCCTTAAAATGAGTAGTTCCTATTCTTCTGGGGTTTGTTTATGCAAACACTTGGCATTGATGTAAGGATATTAAAGAATTATTTTGCTTCATGTCCTGTGATGTTTTGCGTAATTTTGTTTTTACCAGCATGAATTTGTGCTAAATGACTTTACTAAATTATTCCCTCCTTCCAGTCTTACTGCTCTTTAATGTAAAGTCCGCCTCCTTAATCTAGTCAGATTAATCTTAAAATAATTTATTGTCAGTGGGAGGCCATCCAAAACGTGGAATTGTTTCTGCTCAGATGGTAAAGAACTCATGCTCCGTGAAAGCTAAGCTGTCTGTCATTTAACTAGCCATATTTGCTTTTGTTTTGTAAGCTCCCAACTCTCTTTGCTCATGGGATTACCTCCGTAATCTTTGTATTTATAAAAAAAGTTTAACTAGCAAACCACATTAAATATTATCTAACTGTTCCCAGGCAAGGATATTTGCAAAGCAGTGAACCACGGCTGTGAACATGCTTGTGTTAATGCTGGTGATTCATTTGTTTGTAAGTGTCAGGAGGGATTCCTGCTAAGAGACGATGGAAAAACATGCAAAAGTAGGTAGTCTGATATTTGTCAGCATAATTTTTATCTGCAGCTCATGCTTGTGTAGAAATGCATTAACCAGCAAGAGCTGTCATCTGTTTTCAGATAAAGATCTTTGCAAATCAGTCAACCATGGCTGTGAACACGTTTGTGTTAATACTGATGATTCGTATATCTGCAAATGCCATGATGGATTCCTACTGAGAGAAGACGGGAAAACCTGCAGAAGTAAGTAGCATGAGAACTTAATTTGATGGATTACACATATAATCGAGGCCTTTGCTGATGTATGTCCACTACCAACTCTTCTGCTTGCAGACAAGGATGTTTGCAATTCAGTCAACCATGGCTGTGAACAAGTTTGTGTGAATACTGAAGATTCCTACATCTGCAAGTGTCGTGAAAAATTCATACTGAAGGAAGATGGAAAGACATGTAGATGTGAGTAGCCTAAGCTACAAAAGTATATTTTTCCTTGTAGCTTTTAAGTGTTGTGGCTGTGAGTGTTTGCACATGTGTATTAGTGATTTCCAACTATTTGAACTGGTTAATAAAAGGTATTATCTCTCCCTAACAAACCTCACCTCACAAACTCCATCCACTCTTCTCAGATGAAGATGTTTGCAACTCAGTTGAGCACGGCTGTGAACATATTTGTGTTAATACTGATGATTCCTATGTCTGCAAGTGTCACGAGGACTTCATACTGAGGGAAGATGGGAAAACTTGTAGGAGTAAGTTGTTTAATCTTTGTTTTGTACTTCTGTTAATGAAACACACTATTCAACACTAGTGTGTTATTTGTGTCTTTAATATAGAATCAATTTATGGAAATGAGCTCCTTCAAGGAAGACTATTTCCGTAATATGTATGTTTTATGGAAGTTCTTTACCTAGCAAACTGTGCTAAATATAATTTTCATTATTCCAAGGTAAAAATCTCTGCAAAACAGTCAGCCATGGCTGTGAACATGTCTGTGTTCCAACTGGCGATTCATACGTGTGTCAGTGTCACAAGGGATTTGTATTGAGGCGAGACAGGAAAACATGCAGGAGTGAGTAGCTGAAACTTTGATGGGGAATATGGTTTTTCAGTCATAAAAGAAATAACAGACTTAATTTCACTCAAAGCTTGTTTATGCCAGTTTTGTATTTGAGAAATGGTCTAATGAGGAAATTCTCTTAACAATTCTCAGATAAAGACCTGTGTAAATCCATTGACCATGGCTGTGAACATGTGTGCATTAATAATAACAATTCCTACAGCTGTCAGTGTCATGAGGGTTTTGTCCTGCGACAAGATGGAAAAACATGTCGAAGTAAGTAACTGAATATGTCTGTCAGCCAGTCTTCTCTGGCATTGCTACCAAAATGGACAAAGATGTCATACTCCTTTGTCATACATTCTTCAAGTATCATGCTTGGAGTCTTTGAATTTATAAATATGTTAAATAGAATACATATAAATATTTCAATTTTTCCTAGATAAAGATGTCTGCAAATCAGTTGCCCATGGTTGTGAACATATTTGTGTTAATAATGACGATTCATACATCTGCAAATGCCAGGAGGGATATGTACTAAAAGAGGATCAGAAAACATGCAGAGGTAAGTACATTTTATTTAGAAAGCATTTGTTTCTTTGGTTTCTAAAATTACTTGACCTCTTTATAGAATCATAGAATTTCTAGGTTGGAAAAGACCTTAGAGATCATCCAGTCCAACCGTCCCTAATCCCCCATTAAACCATGTCCCTAAGCAGTACATCCACCCTTTTCTTAAACACACATAAAAAATGCCTCATTTCAAAAATGATACAATATTTGAAAGCCCAAAGCATACGTGAGTGTGATGGAAAATGTCTTGAACAATTAACTTGATGCTCTCGTAAGGTAAAAACTAACAAATTGCAACAGTTGTTTTGGTATAGTATCAAGTACAATAATTGTTTCCAAACATCAGTAAAAAAGCCAAAGTGAAATTTTATTATCAAGGAATGTGCACTTTAATCGGATTCATATACTGTAGAGCTTTTGTCTTTACATACTCCATTTTAAAATATCAGTAATTCTAGTTGCTTATCTTCTAACATGACATGCTTAGAGTATGACATGCATTTATCTCATCACCCCTTAATACTTGGAGGAGAAACTCTTCTACTGGAACTCAGTAAAAACACTTATTCTGCAAAACTGGATGCCTTAGCTGGGGAGACTATTACCAAAAGAATGGTAACATGTTTACGACTGATCTCAGTCCTAACTGAAACCATTCACCATGAACTGCTGCTCTGTCGTGACTTACGCAATCATATTGAGGTGGGTTTGATACTCATATTCATTGCCTTTCCACCACCTTAGTACATGTGACACATCTTTTCCTCAGATGACTGTGGAAAGGAATTCTTGGACAGCAGTTCTAAAATAGAGCTATTGTCTTAAGAAGAAAAGCCCAAGCTTTAAAGCCAAAAATTCCTTAATTCCTACACTGATTTGGTAACAGACATCTTCAGTAATTTCTGCAGCCAAAGCAGAAATAAATGTGGAAAGAACGTATGCGGAGTTCTTTTTTGTGGGAGACCTACTCTGATAACTTTCACTCTTGAGGTATCTAGAGATCCCAGATCCTCACTTAATGCCCTCCAGACAATTGTCTTCAGGTTCTGTTAGTCTAGTCGGCAGTCAGCTTAAATAATAAGCAACATTACAGACCTTTCCAGTTACCCTGTACGACACTCAGACATTTAGGAAGCTTACAAACCACAGGGAAAATAGCGTTCCTGGTTTCTGTGAAAGAAGGCAGAGACATAGAGCACTTGTAGTAGCTTTGAGAATTGATCTAGTTCATGGCATATGCTTGAGGCAGCATCAGAATATATATATCTAGTAATATCTGATGGATGTTTCAGTGTGTTTCAAAAACTCTCTCATGACAGAGCATCATTGATTTCAGTGTCCCCAGTAGTCTGATTTCCTGCTGTTACCTTTATAATATTTTTTTCCCCTAACAAGCAACTATCTTTATAGCAGATGAAGCCATTTGCTATCTTTTCTATTCACATGAAAGCAACTGATTTATCGTCTTCTTTAAAATAATCCCCTTCTACATCTTGGAAGGGTGTTATCATGCTTCATACTCATCTTTCCTTTCCTTAAGCAAACAATCTCTGCTCCTTCAAGCTTCCTGTGTGTGCCATGCTTTCTAAATATCTCATTACTCTTGCTGTGAAACTCAGGACTCTCCAGTTTGGCTTTCAGGGTGATACCCAGAGCTTAGCACCGTATTCATCTGAGACTTACGAACTACTGCATGATTCTCTCTGGTATTGCGCTTACAGCATTCTTACTGCACAAACATCAGAGATGAGTGGAGGTCAGAGTTCATTTGGTCCAGCCTGAGATGCAAATCTTACATTCCTTAGTATGGCAAATTCTCCCTGGAAGTTACATTGATCAAATAGGAGCTGAGCATCTCTGCAGCCAGCCCGTTGCACAAAAGCGCACTAGTCTGTGCCTGCTGGAGGCAATTTCTTTCCAGAATAAAAAAACAACTGGCAGAACCAGTCTGCGGCTTCAAAGACGTTCTCCAGGCCCTAAATTCCCTAACCTTGTCATGGATACAGGGTGCCTACAAACTGCTTTGATTTTTGCATGTGCACTTGCCAAAAAGTATGAGAACTCCAGATTTGTCAGTCTCCTGGATTCTCTCCCAGCTTTAATGGGTAAACCAGAAAAGGTTAATTTCAGCAATACATAAGCCTTCTAACTACAAGATTGTTAGAGTTACAATCAAAAAAATATATGTAAACAATTCTGATCCATGTTGAGCAGCTAGGCACATTTCTAGCATTTACTCTCACCTATAGTTTTTTAGCTGCTTTTCTGCCAGTAGACATTTAAGTACATGCTATAAAAACATGTGCATTGTCTGAATTTTGTCCTGAGACTTGAACCCCATCGTAAGCTGTAGGGCAGGCTACCTAGCCCTCCGCTTCTCGCTCAGCCTTGCCCAAGCTCTTCGGCTTTTGCCTTACTGTTCCCTGTCACTCTGAATATGACTCCTAGATTTTCATCTTACATGCAAGTAGGACTTGATAGACTCAATTCTTTGTACCATCTTTACCTTTTTGCTACTTCTGCAACACAAATGCAGCCCCAGTGAGTCTCTTCCATGTCTTTCAGTGCTGGTCAGCTACACAAATGTAAAATTAGTGTACTGGCCTATCCCTGGAAACTAATGATGGCAACTCTCTCTATATATCCTGGCTACGTTCTTGATATACAGTTCTCTCTACTGAACAGTCATTCTTAAAATTTGCTGATTGTTGCTGTATTTTTAAGAGTTCTAGGATTCTGCAAAGCAGTATGGCTCAGTAAATATTCACTGTGATTATATTTTTGTTAAACTTTTGGTCGTCAGCACACTCTTTAGCTTTTGAAATAGACTGTACACAACATCTTTAGATGCACTGGCAAAGCTGGCTGAGCCAAGAACAAGGTACTCTGGATGATCTCTGAGTTTATGCAGTCCCTGGGTATCTAGGTCCCTCTTTCAGCTTTGTGGAGTTTTTTCATGATCTAAACACACTGCTGCTTATTTCACAGGATGCAGCGAAGGCCCAGTTGACCTGGTGTTTGTGATTGATGGATCAAAAAGTCTTGGAGAGGATAATTTTGAAATTGTAAAACAATTTGTCTCAGGAGTCTTGGATTCCCTTGAGATTTCACCCAAAGCTGCTCGAGTTGGTTTGCTTCAGTATTCCACTGAAGTTCGCACAGAGTTTACATTAAGGCAGTTCAGCTCAGCCAAAGACATGAAGAAAGCTGTATCGCAAATGAAGTACATGGGGCGAGGTTCCATGACAGGACTGGCTCTGAAGCAAATGTTTGAGAGAAGCTTCACAGAAACAGAAGGAGCAAGACCACTTTCAGCAAACGTCCCCCGAATCTCCATTGTGTTTACAGATGGACGAGCCCAAGATGAAGTCTCTGAGTGGGCTGCTAGAGCAAAACGAAATGGTAAGTGGAGATGGTTTTGACTCATTCTAAAAGGCAAATATGGTTAGAAATAAGATGTAGTAATAGTGTGAATGTGCTACAGTATGTGCTAATCAAGAGAGCCTTTGTCATAGCAGTCAGGCTAGTACAGTGACCACTGCAGCAGAACATCGCATCTTTGGTGTTCACATATGTCATCCCTAGTGCAGGACCCACAATGAATGTCTCACCTCTGAGGTTCTGTGCCATCCACAGGTAGCGGCATTACCCACCTGGCATGCCTTGCAGTGCACTGAATATATCCACTAAGGGCAGGCATTTGATACAGGGATTCAGGAACACTGGGAACTTCTTTAAAAAAATCTTAAGAAAACCAAACAAACAACAAGAAAAAAAAAACACAATCAATCTTGTCTCTTCAAAATACAGAAATCTATCCTCCTGAGAAATACTGTGATAATAATTGGTTATATTTTTATTTATGTATACTCTGTATTTTTAACCAATTTTATACTGCTGATGGTGTTCTGAAAGGTCCTCCTTTTGACAGCATATAGCTGCAATGTTGTCTGTCATTCTATGTACCTTGTCAGGTGATAGTTCATGCTGAAATGTAATTGAAAACGGGCGATTTTTAACATAAAGTATGTCTGGGCAGAAATCTACCCTCTAAGACATCTGTACCAAAACCAGAAACTTGTCATCTGTTCAGCAGCCAAAGTCTTGAAATTTTCAAAACTTTTCCAGAAAATAAATAATATCTTTTTCCTTTGTAAAACATTTTCTGAGAAACTGCTTTAAGAACCATGGCTGATGGCCCGCAACACAGAGAAAATAGGCAGACTTTAGAAGATGCTGCACATTTTTATTGTTTTATCGACTTGATAAAACAATCATGACTTGATGCATGATTAGTATAGCCCTGGTTAGGACTGACACTTCTCTGTAAAGAGAATAAGTAAAACATCTGAGGACATGAGAAGAGCATGTGCTAACAAGGGTGCTTGTAAAATAAAATATAAACAAAGTGGGTTTTAAAATATCAAAAACAAACTCAAAGATTCATACACTAAATGGTGAGATCTGGGAAAGTACATGGCAGATCTACAGGACTGAAGAAGGAAAGAAGTAGAAGCCAACCTTGCTTACTTGTTGAATGAAACCTCCATTCCAGACTGCTTCCACTGATATTCGTAATGCTACAAGCCAAATCCATCCCCTGTGTAATTGCAGCGTAGGCAGTGTAGTAATGCTGAATATGAAATTGGCCTTGAATGCCTTATCACTGATAATCTCCAAGTTGCTTTAAAAAGCAACAGACCTCAGCATGACTGGTCCATTCATTAATTTGAATCAGCTCCTGGTGAATGTTTTACTTTCCTGGCTGAAGTGCAGTGGTAGGCAGATCCATGACGCAAAGTAAGGAGGTGCTTACGTTAAATGTTAAAGAGTTGGAAAATGCATATTTTATGATATCAGGTCTGAGATTCTTCAAAAGGTTAAAGTTGCAATTCAGTAAGCGTGTAGCTGTTACTACCTGGTGATAATAAAGAGATATCAAACCCCTTCATGCAAAGTTTCATCTGAAACCAATCAGCTGAGAAGGCAGCTTCCGCTCTTGAGTCTTATAAAAAAGCTTGAAATGCTACGAAGCTAATAGTTGTATTATGAATCACAAAATCAGTACTAGTTGTGGACACTTTCTAAACCAGAACTGATATGATCTGATACAACATTTCTCTTTAAATCAGTACTAGTTGTGGACACTTTCTAAACTAGAACTGATATAAAGAGAAATGTTGTATCAGATCATATGTTCACAAGAAAAAAAAATCGATTATTAAGTGCTGAAAAGGGAGATATTGAACATCACTATGTTTTGTACTCATTGCTTGTTTAAAAATCTGTCTGGTGAGAGGGCTGTGAACCATTTCCTCCTGCCCTGCTTTCAGAGTGCAGAAAACTATGAAACGTCTTTCACTTTCTGCCTTGCACCTCTGCTGGGGAAATGCTGGTCCTGAGCATCCCAGTTCTTTCTCTCCTAGCCTCACAAATAGTTCCTTTCCCCTGTTCTTTGTACCCAGCCCACTAGCATCCGTTCAAGTCCAAGAATCTAGTCTCAATTTGCTCTGAGGATTTAGATGAAACACTGAGTATTTCTATTTTTCTAAAAAAACTACTCACAGCTTTCAGGATTCTGCCCCATTTGCTGATGCATAATGAGTCTCCCCATCAACCCAGTAATTAGCTTTATTGCACACACTCTACCTACACAGCCACACACACAAACCAGGAACTTTTAGTACAACTATGAGGCTGACTTGTGTGATTCTCCTTACTGTTTAGCAGTACTCTTTCTGTGTTCATTTCCTATCAGTAGTGGCCAGGCAACCGTCTTTGTCTTTAACTTAAAAACTATCTGTTAAATTACAGGGAAGCAGTGAGTTTCTACACATCTTCCAAATAAATAAAGCACATTAAGCCTGTTTGAACACAATTTTGAAGATACACCACATATGCAGTTCTTGTGCTCTCCCTTTCTCTCTCTCTTTTTCCTTTCACAGAAGAACAAGGGCTTAGAACTGCTGATGTAATAATTTGTGCAATTTCTTTTGAATCTAGGTATAATTATCTATGCTATTGGAATAGGAAAAGCAATCGAGGAAGAACTGCTAGAAATTGCTTCTGAGCCACCATATAAACATCTCTTCTATGCTGAGGATTTCACAGCTATGGAGGACATAAGTGAAGAGCTAAGAGTCCAAATCTGTGAAGGTAACAGTCTTCCACTTTCATTGAGTCAGAAGAGGAATGAATGCTTGTAGATTTTTTTGCAGGCCTAGAAGGACAACTAGTGTCATAGTATAGGTCATACATCATTGGTGTCAGACATTGCAAGGCATAATATTGCAAGTAATTTTTCTGCCCTTCAATATGTGAGGAATATACACCCTTACTCTGTCGCCAGATAAAAGTATATAATAATTGTCTTTCCTTTATTTTCATAAAGGTTGCATAAAATGTACACTTCTGTGCCCAGAAGAATCAACTGCCCCCTCCCCTTTCTTTTTCTACAGTTAAGTTAGCCATGCACTGAACCCCAATCCACCAAAGAAGTATGATCTACTTCATTAGGAATGTAGGAAAATAATCAGGGATTTGTAATGTCTTAATGAGAATTAAAAAATTACTTTTAAGATCAGTGGCAAAAAAACCCTAAAACACAGCAAAAAAAAATCATCAAGAGCTGTTGTGCATATTTATAGAAGACTAAAATTAGTTCATTGAACATACATTCACAGCTACAAAGAGTGGATCTCAGTTATGCGTAAGCTCCAAGTTTTGCTCCACAAACGTAGAAGGTTTGTTCCAGAAAGCACCCTTCCTTACTGTGGGACGGACAGCCTCTATATAATTCCCAGCTGAGGTTTTTCAAGGAAAAGAGGGAATAGGAGCTAGGACGAAAGCTGTTGAGCCAGAGAGAGGACAGCATGTCTCCCCCACTGACACCTTCCCAGGACTCATTCAAATCAGTACCTGAAGCAAAATTCAGAAACATCACTGTGAATAATATTGGTCATAGCACTAGAATTGTGCAAGACGATTTAATTTTCACTAGCTTTTGTTTAGTTGTTTTTCTTGGAATTAAATGCAAACAGGTTTTATTTTTTTCTTTAACATTACTGTGTAAAACTGGCTGGCAAGAAGCAGTGCATTTCTTCCTCATACAGATATCAAGGAAGAACCTGAAAAAAGAATCTGTGAATGTTTCCTAGATTGTATCTTCTTTTTGTTTCTCTCAGTCCTAAGAATCTTCTAGCTCCATCTCTCTGAAATACAAAATACTATGATAACATGAAACCAAGTCTGTTCATTAACCTTCTGACTGGGCAGATAATCTGCTGATGACAGCATGTCATCTTAAAAGCCTGGAGAGAGGCCAAAGCCAAAACTATCTGGCAACCGGTATAATAATTCCCACTCATTAGCAAACCCCAGAGCTCGGTAATGGAAATGCATCCTTCAGGTACCCACAGTGGTGGATAGCAACCAGGATTTTCTTTCTGGTTTTTAAACTACATTACTTAGCATATGAAAAGTAAGTAAATCCTGCCCCTTTGTGGCAGTTTCTAGACTGCATCTCTAGTAACTGGGCAGAGCTGGTGCCTCTCAGCTTCTGTCCTCTCTCAACCAACAGGCTATGCCTCACACCTGTCAACCGAGGGTTGAACCAGCCTTGTTTTTCGGGACATTCTAGGACTACCTGTTATTGCTCATCAGCTCACTCCACCAGAAATGCTGCTTCCAAACCTGTTACACAAGCCGAAAGTTCATTTTTTTTTCCTCTCCATTTTTTACAGCCTAAATTTTTTCCCTCCTTTGCAACAGCATAAATTTCATTTTGACTCCAGCCTTGGTCCTTAGCTGAGTACTTCCAAAGCTCCAGCCTGTGAGGGCAGTAGGAGACCATCTGAACCTCATGGACTCCACTAACAAAGCCTCTCATCCCCGGTCCCAGCTGTGGATAGGCTGCATGTTTCCAAGTAAGGCAGAAGCCCTCCAAATCTCTTTTGGGACAAGGCTTTTTCTTTTATTCTGCAAGAAAGCATCAACCTTGTAGAATAGCTAATGATTACTAGCAATTATTTTTGATGGCTAACAGTTAAAAAAAAAAAGTGGTTTTCTCTTTTGCCTCTTATAAAGAGGAATTCAGTTGGAAGGTTCTCGTTCATTGCCTTGGTTAATGTTCGTTTTTCATCTGACTGAAAGCACTAACGAGGCTACAGCAATGTCACACATAATACGCACTCATCATGATTGCCTCTTCACCCCTGTTCTAAGCATGTGCATTATGTGAGTCTTTAATTACATGCTCACATACTATTTTTGTCACAAGAACCCAGCCCTGATCAGATGACAGTACTCAGCAGGCTGCTGGTTAACATTCGGTTTCTTTCCAAATTGCAGATTGTTATCACTGCTGCAAATAGTCAGCCACTGCTTTTGAAGACATACCTTTTTGAAGACATCTTCTCACAGGCTTTTCTTAAAAAAATACTCAGGTTTTGTTACAAAACAGAACACTAAAAACAAACATCCAACTTTAGTATTGGTCCCCCCCAAACCTGAATGTTTATGTTCACTGCACTGACTTCACCAAGGGACTCCGTTTGGGTTAGCAGCCTGTCACTACTTGCCTGATGATTCACAGCTTTACAGAGGTGACAAGATGAGAAATCTTTGGGCCCCAGCCGGTTTCTGAAGCCTAAAGAGGGGTTTCTGAAATGCCCAATTCACTTCCCAAACTAGACACCTTCTGCCACACTTCTACCAGTATCTCTCTCAGTCTTTCCTGTCCCTTACATCTGAATCCTAATTACTTGTATACCAGCTCAGCATCCAAAGCTCAAATTTTTCAGGTCAGTTCCTCTGCCCCTCCTAGACAGCCTCCTTATTAGCCTACAGCTCTTAAACAACTTCTAGAGCAAGCCATTACCCAGGGTCAAACACTCAAGGTTCATCTTACCTGTTTACCTTCCACATTAGAAATCTCACCATCCTTGTTTCTGGTTGATTTGTTCTTCTGCTGGACTCCTTACCCAGTTTGTTTCATTCCTTACCTCATGATCTCATCCCACACCTCTTTGCTGTTTTCTCCAAAACCCATGTTCCTTCCACCAGCAGGTTCCCACACAGGCTTTTTGATAGATATATATCATAGTTCTGCTCACTGAACTCTGGTGGTCTTACTCAACCACTCATCTCTGTTGATCCCCTGTTCCTCATCCTTGGTTATTCCAGCCGCCAGCGTCTCATCTCCTTCCCAGTGCAACTTAGCATGGCTGTGCGTTATTGTGCATCTGTCAAAATTCACTAGACCAATAGAGATCCCAATAGCTAAAAGAAACCTGTGGGGCCCAGAAGCATCTTCCACCTTCCTGCTGCATCTTGATGGCCTATCAAGAGAGTTTGTACATCACCTTTTACCCTCATGTACTCACTTTCAGTGAAGGAACTCTGAGTATGTTTGCAGGGCGGGAGTCCCAGATGCTACACCCCTGTCACAGTGATCAAGGAGTGCAGTTGTTAAACGTATGTGCTTCAGCTCCTCTGGGCCCTGAAGGGCTCCACGGTTAATTGAAGGGGAAGTTCTAGGAAAGAGCCCATTCTTAGGGAACCAAAGCTGCCTCCACATTACCCTCATTGCAGCAAGGAAGGGGTAGTGCAGCGAATGACCTTTGAGGTGGTTACACCTACATACTAAACAGGTTTCCATTTCTCTCCAGACACCCTTTATGGGTATGTGGAGTCTGAAATAAATCCCTGTGCTTCATGAATTAGAAATTTTTAAATTTTTGCTTATAACTGTAGTGCATCAAAAACTTTACATCACCTTTCTCACCTAAACACTCCCAACTCCCTGATCAATGTTTCCCGTTATAAAGAAGAAAATTGAAGGAGAGTAAGAAATTTCTTCCTTCTCCAAGCAGTTTTTATTCCATTCACTTCACCCCAAAGGATGGATGGATGACAATGAAACATGCAAGAATTTCACTAAAGGACACAAAATAGGCTGCTGTCATTCCAGGTTGCTTCACTATAAATCTATTTGTAAAGCACTTCTGGTTTTGGAAGAGTTCCTCTGATAATTCTGAGTTGAAGGGCGAGTCCTGGAGTTTCCATTAACGCTGGACCTCTTTTAAACTGCACAAGTATGAGGTGTTCTCCATGTGTTATGAGAGACACTGAGTTACTAGTGGTAACAGACATCTGCATTTCTAGGGAATGCAAACATTTTTATTGCTCCTTTTGTGATATCATTTCCTTTGGCAATTTCTTTCTGTCAGCCTTGAGAGAGTCAGCACACCAGCAGGATCCATCATCTGGGAGGCTTCGTAAGACTGGACCACAGCCTTCAGGTTGGCTGTTTTAACTGTGTCCTACTACTGTCTGCCCAGATCATTGCTAAGTTGCCTCTTCATGCCACCTTCTGCAGAGAACTCTAACAATTCACCTATGAGAGAATGGTTCATTGCATTCCCCTTCCTGGTCCCCTGCAAACCACCTTCCTGTCTGCAATTCAAGTCTGCTTTGTACCAGAAATTTTGAGATCATTGTAACGAATGCATGGCTGCATGCTTCTTACACCATCCAAATGAATTACTTCATGGGGAAACTTGTATTTCAACACTGTGCTTGGAATTCCAAAGCATGTTCAGCTTTCAATCACTTCTGTTTCTCACGGCAACCTTCACAACCACCTTTCAGTTCTGCAACCCACAACTTAAATTATGTATACAGTAAACTCAGCCTTACAGCTCGGTTCCTTCACATCTTTGTATCCCTAGTCCTCTCCATGAATGATCCTCACTGCAGACAGTGAGATTACTCACTAATGAGAGAACTCTGTGCATGTGAGTAGGGAAAAAAAATACTGTATGAAGTGAAGTGGGTTTGATTTTTAGACTTTTGGGGGGTTTCCTGCAGGACCTGAATCAACCACAATAGCCATCACAGATGCCATTGCCTGCCCCAATCTTGCAATACACCACAAGTATCTTTTTGAAGACAGTCACACTCACTCAACAAGAACAACAGGTAATCAGGTTACCTTTGTTTAGAATAATCCCAACTGCTCTTTGAATATATAGGCCTAAGTGTTGTGTACTATTTTCTAGTATTTACAAAGTCTGCCCCATAGCATTCCTTTGGATGTTGACCTGTTTTGAGAACAGGAAGCTGTATTAAACCTGCTCTGCATTTATAAGTCCTTGTCACTTCCTCCCCCATCCCATTTGATTTATTAATCTTTTAATCTATGCTTTGACTGTTTCTGTTTTTCAGCAAAAGCTTCAAAAGACAAAGACCAGTGCAAATGTGAAAACCTTGTGACATTCCAGAACTATGCAACCAATGAAGTAAGAAAACTCACCCAGCGATATATCCTTCCAGAGTAATTGTTTCTTGCATGTAAGACAAGGGGGGGCAAGTTAAAAGAAAGGATAATTACAACACATCGAGTCTAAGCTGTCTCCATAGCTCAAATCAATCTACTGTAATGAAAAGCTAAACTACTTGACAGGTAATGTTAATCTCCAAGAAGCAAGGCTTTTAAGACTTGAAAGCTGTCTCTCCTTCAAAGAATGGACCAAAATATTAATAAGGATCTTAACTTTCAATAATCCCTAAGAGTAAACACCTTCAGGGACAGTAAAGAAATGACTGGTCAAATTCAAGACTAGCACTATTTGCTTTGAGTTATTTCTTCTGATAGCACTGAAATAGCATTTACTGGCTACAGAAGTCAGAATACAGGAGATGTTTCCCTTCTGAACTTCTTGGTGAAGCACCAGATGCAGCGAGTCAGTTAAATTAACACTCCAAATGAAGAGCAATTTAGAGGGCTGAGGTCTGATTAATTTTGCATGAACAAATATGCAGATGAACATTAAGTGCAGATCTACAGCTTCCCCCTCCCCCCCAAGTTAATCTGCCTTTCCAAGGGAACTGTCAGTACAGTAGCCTTTACAGTATCTGCAACATCCACCAAATGTCTCAGGAGACAACAGCAGCAAGCAATTGCCAGTTTGTCCACCTGAGACATTTGGTGGATGTTGCAGATACTGTAAAAATAAAATAAAAATTAAAAAAAAATTCTAATATCCAATCTAAGCCTCCCCTGGCACAACCTGAGGCCATTTCCTCTTGTCCTATCACTTGTTACTTGAGAGAAGAGACTGACACCCACCTCACTACAACCTCCTTTCAGGTAGTTGTAGAGAGCAGTAAGGTCTCTCCTCAGCCTCCTTTTCTCTAGGCTAAACAATCCCAGTTCCCTCAGCTGCTCCTTATAGGACTTGCACTCTAGACCCTTCACCAGCTTCATTGCCCTTATTTGGACATGCTCCAGCATCTCAATGTCTTTCTGGTCATGAGGGGTCCAAAACTGAACAACTATTTCAGGTGTGGCCTCACCAGTGCTTAGTACAGGGGGACAATCATTTCCCTAGCCCTGCTGACCACATTATTTCTTATACAAGTCAGGATGCTGTTGGCCATCTTGGCCACCTGAGCACACTGCTGGCTTATATTCAGCCAGCTGTCAGCCCATACCCCCCAAGGTCCTTTTCCACAAGGCAGCTTTCCAGCCACTCTTCCCCGAGCCTGTGGCATTGCATGGGGTTGTTGTGACCCAAGTGCAGGGCCCAGCACTCAGCCTTGTTGAATCTCATACATTGGCCTCAGCCCATCAATCCAGCCTGTCCAGATCCCTCAGTAGAGCCTTCCTGCCCTCAAGAAGATCAACACCCTTAATCAACTTGGTGTTGTCTGCAAACTTACTGAGGGTGCACTTGATCTTCTTGTCCACATCACTGATAAAAATATTAAACAGAACTGGCCCCAATACTGAGCCCTGGGGAACACCACTTGTGACTGGCTGCCAACTGGATTTAACTCCATTCACCACCACTCTTTGGGCCCAGCCATCCTGACAGTCTAGGTAGTAAGAAGACATCACATCTTCTATTTAATTTTTGTAACTGTGTGCAAGATCAATAAGCACTTATTTTCTGCAAAGAGTGCAGCAATAGCAACAGCTCATAACTCTGTGCTTCCTAGACAAGAACAGCTTCAGACTGAGGAACCTGTGGAGTTAAGAGTCTGTCCAGAGTCAGGCTAGCAGAGCCCTCAGTGGTCCTGACAGTAGGCAAGACCACTGAGGGCTCTGTTAACCTTACGCAAAACACTGCCTACCACTTCAGACCTTACCTCCAGCTATTTTGTGTAACTACAGCAGCCAGCCTCACTGTATCTCCCACCTTCTCAGGTGAATCCTTCAACAGGTAGCTCAAGGAAATCATGTTCTGATCGCTTGATTAAGTTACTCCATGCAAAGTAGAATTACTTCATAAAGGGGGAAGAAAGTCATCGCGTAAGGTTACTGCTAGGTGCTTCAAATGTTCATCAACATTTATACTTCTCTGAAGGGACTTCTCCAAAGTCTCCAAATGACTTTGGAGAAAATCTCTAGCTCATTTCCCACATCCTTAGGAGTGTTACCCAGACATATGCAGTTGCAACCTAGATGCTGACAAGAAAGGAGACTACTCCTTCCCCCTTCAGCAGAAGCCTTAGCCTCTTCACTGTAGTCACCTGCAGCCAGGCTGTGAGGAATTCTGAGGTTACTCAGAATCAAAGAAAACAGAGCTTAGCAACATGTCATTTTTTGCTTTACAATTTGAGCAGGCAACCCTGTGGTTTTCAGAGTCTGAACGACTCAGGGAGATGGAAAAGCTGCTGACTTACACTGAGCTGGAGACCTACACGTTTCCATAGGAACAGTGCCAAGCACTTCCCCAGAGCACTGTGCAGCCACTGCTTTGAACAGAGTAAGAACTATCCAGTTTCCTCTTCTTACAAACCTAATTTCTCTGCCTTATCTGACGAGCAGCTCAGATACTGAATGATATAGTAGTTCTTGGTAACTGCTGAAGACTCTGCTGGCCAGTCCCCATCCCAGGGATCTGGGGGGAAGAGGGGGAGGGAGAACTGGCTACAAAACTAGCTTCAGTTAATGAATATAAATTTAGAGGGACCAGTCCAAACCATCAATGATTTATATGAAACTACATTTAACTTTTTCTATCAGTAGATGAATGCAGTTTCCACTGCTTGAACTTTGCCTCTGTAAACACTTCAGAAACATTGATGTTGCATAGAAAGCAGCTCAAACGATGCTAAGCACGCATAGAGTAATCCTTTCTGCATGACAGACAGTTGAGGAATTACCAAACATAAACCCAACGTACAGGCAGGCTGGTTCCCACAGAAGCAGGACTCCCACTCTTGCACCTTTCTAGCAAGAGGATTCTGCTGCCGTCAGTGCGACATGGCGAGGGCAGCAAATTGCTGTTCTGGCCAAACTCAGAGGCTGAATTCAATTTGCCTGTCTACCCTAACCAATTTCTAACAGCCCCTGTCAAAGATTGCACTTTTGTATGCCCAGTTCTCCCTTTTTCCTTGTGGAAGTCCTTAAAGCATTTAAATCAAGACACTAGACACACAAGCAAAGACTGGGGTGCAGCAACTTAGTCCTTTTCAGGTGGGCCTCTGCCTTCAGTTCTCTCTCTGGATGCTAGGTCCCCTTTTCCTCTCAGCTTACCCTAGCTCCAACCTTATGATGGCTCTTTTGAGAGAGGTGGTCAAGTCAACTGTATCAATCCAGCCTCCTGCTGCAGCAGATAAAAGCATTCCTGTCAGCTGGAGATACTTATCAGGAAAGTGATGCTGTACGCTGCTTTGCATTGCTACAGCTTCTTGCCTTCAGTGGAGCCAGCCCTAGATCCCTTGGAGCTACTTGTGCTCTACTCCACATCTCCCTGGGAAACAGGGCTTTGTAAGAACAGTACCCTATGCTACATCACCACAGGGAGGAATACAAGACCATCAGCAGACGTTCTTACTGCAGTCAGAGCTGTGTATGGTTTTATAATGTTACCTTACATGTAGTGTTCCATGTGATTAAGTGAAACATTTTTTAAACAGCATTAACTAGGATAAATATTTAGCTTCCCCTTAAAACAGAAATAGCCAGTTTCCAGCACCACCAGCCTTTTTAATATACTGCAGCCCAAACTCCATGTCAAGGTATGCCTGTTAATGAGCGGGGCTTTACACAGCTTTCTCAGCTCAGCTGATCAAAGCAGCAAAGAAAGTACAGGGGAGCATCGTTACCAGAAACTACTGGGAGCCAAAGAGGGTAAAGAAGAGGAGAAACAAGCAAGTTTACGGACCACAGCAATCGGGCAGCTGACGCTGTTTTTCTATGAATGCATGCTATCAGTAGCCCTCTTTCCTTAACTTCTGTCTACTGGAAGAAATGACAAAAAGAATGGAAGACTTGGAAAACAGGCTAAAATACTGATCGAAATTTGAAGTGTATACTACACTGTATATTTATACATACAAACTTGTCAGAGCTATTTTCTTAAACTGGTTCAAAGTAAAATAACAAATCCTTGAGTCTGAAGTTGAAAAGAGTATTTTGGATCCCTGCATCTATATACTATGTGTTCTGTCTTGCATTGATTGCAGATAAGAAATGTTGAAAATTTTATATATATATACGATTTAGTAACTAGCAAAAATTCTAATTAAGCAGAACTAAACAACTGAAATAAGCTATGCAAAATAATAAAATGCTGTTATTTTTTTGAAGTGAAACCTCCATGTTTTTAAGTACTTTTAGGGTATGAATTTATTTGGCTTGCTTTTCTGTATTTTCCTCCTCCACTCACTCTGCTAGTATTTTAAGCACCCTATCTGTGTGGATATTTATAGTTCTACATATATATACTTAGATAAACACAAGTGGGACAGCATTCACAGAAATTAGGTTTCACTTACATCTTAACAAGATTAGACTACTGAAATCAGTTGGAAGTAAAAATAGAAATTTAAACATTTGTGTTGAAACTATGATGAAAGTAAATGAGCAAAGTGGGAAGTCTGCTGGATTATCATGGTATCACAATCCAAAGTTTCACGTACATTTTCTCTTACCACATCCAGACCACGTAACTTCTCTCTACTGTTCCTTGATCAGCGGTCAGTGATTCTCTTAACTTTCCTGAATGCAACTGGTATTTTAATTATGAAACCATTTTTTGAGTAATACAACTAGCTGTATGCCTGTTTGTCAAACACTAAGACACAAATGAAGATAGTGAATTGCTTCCAGCCATTCGGGCTAAATGAAGTGCCTTGCAGTTTTACTCCTTCCCTTTGGCAGCAACAGCAGAGGGAAGCTTTACTTTCACACTAACAGCAGTATCTAAACTATCTCCTCAACAGATCCAAATCTGGTGTTTAATAAGTAGATACCAGTACTTCCTCCTTTGCTTTGACACACACTGGTTTGTCTCTTTACTATCTCCAAATGGAAAGACACAACTTCATCCATTCTATACCAGAAGCAGAAGTACCTGCAACAAAACTAGATTACGTGATCTCAGATAAGCCAATGAGCATACATGGATACGTAACAAGCTTTAAAAAGGTACCCTGTGCTTCAGCATACTTTGGCAAACAGAATGCCAAAGGATATTTGCAAGGATACTGGTACATACTGATTTTCATTAGGTGTTTCTTTTACAGCGCTATCAGCAAAGCACTGGCACCTCAATCATCACTAGCAATAAGGAACATCCTGCAGTCATGGTCTCACACAAAACAGGTACAAACCTGTAGGATACCAATGTCCTCAGCAACAAGAACACCAACTCATCTGTCTTTAACAGAATGTCTTCAAAAAACTTACAGGACTACTTTAAAATCAGCTTTGATAAGTTAATTGGTACCTTACTGAAAGTATGTTATACATCATGTCTGGCAGCTAACCTACTTGTCATTTGACAGATAATTTGCATTAGTACTTTGTGATTGACTTAGTAAAGCGTGTGATTTTTTTTTTTTTTTTACTGTCAGTAAACCCTTCAGAGTCCCCCACCAACATCCCAAATTTGCTACTGTACCTCACATTACAAATTGGTTTTGCACTAGCACTCCAAAACCAAAGACTAAGGAAGCCCTAGCCTGGTGGGATTTAGCACCACACTTGCCATGATCAAGTCTTACTCCACTTACTTCTCAAGATACAAAACTTCTAGAGAAAGAAACGGGCAAGTTTTGTCCTGTGAAGGTTATTTCTAACAGAACAGGAAACACAGCAGTTGTAATGAATCTTCATTTATATAGTTTGTTCCCTAAAACCAGCAAAGGTATAATACAAATTTTTCTTAAAACATATCTGTAACCAGTTTTATTGTAGAAATAACAACTTTACAGCATTCACTTCTCACTGGTTTGTTCTGGCATGCTTCTAATGATGTCAGAATCACCTGTAAAACAAAAATACATTGTTACAAGAGGACACACAGAAAGATCTGTTTTCAGGAATAAGCCAAAAAGTTAAAAAAACCCACCAAGGTATCGATTCTACAAATAGAATTAAAAGCAATACAAAGACAGTCTGTTTAGGAAAAAAACAAGTAATTTTGATGGCTTGATAAAAAAATACTTGTAACTGTATTTTGCTAATCCATACACGATATTTTTCAGTTAAATATGTACCTGTCACTAGCATTTACAAAGCCAGTACTAGAGCAACCATCTAGTCCTGGAGGACACAATGCATAGTTTTAATATAGCGAATGTCTAGCCTCCCCTGATCACGGAAATATCAGGACAGCGAGAATATTCGCATTATGTTGTTACGTGGCGACAAAGTTTACCTGCAGTTCTCTCCCCACCCAAACCCAAACCTAAAAGTAACATTTTGAAAGTTAAGTTTACAGCTAGTATTTGAGTACAAGCAAGCTAAATAAAGTTTTCTGAAGAAACAGTGAATTCAAACTGATGTCACTCGGGGAACATTTGGTAAAAGTTATTGAAGAAATCATTAAATCCATGTGTATGCATTTTGGTCAACAAACAGAACAAAAGATTGATTCTTCTCTTAGTAGATTCTGGAAAGAGGATGACAAGTCACTTAATTAGCAGTCTGCATGAGGAACCTGAGCAACTCTCTGGGACAAAGAGTGCTATCAAACCATAGTAATTACATAAAGACTTACAGTTTTAAAATGAAACATTTAATATGATTTTCAACCCCAGATTAGTATCCACCTGCACATAGGTTATTTTTGTATATATCTTTCTAGGAAGCAGGACGACTCACAATCCTTTCTTAGATTACAAACAGTCAAACAAGGCTGAAGTAAACAGCACGTTGCACAAGCTCATATTCCAGCTGATGGGCTCAGAAACACATACCATAAAGTTGCTTCCCAGCCACTGAAACCTGATTACAGACCGACAAGTAGACAAAACACACACTCAAAGGGTTTACCAGTAAAAGGAGCTATGTGCAAACGGAAGTAGTAGTAATTCCAGGTTCTAAGAACCTAGGACTTGTGAAAGAACAGGATCTTGGTCAGCAGAAATTATAATTAAGAGTTAAACAAGATGGAAAAGCACAGCAAAGTCTGTCATCACCCCTGCACGTTACTTGCTCAGTGGTGCTGCCCACAGGTGAGCAGAGGAACCACTGATACAGACCCATTTGGTCACCACGCTGTGAGAGGGACATACCTGGGTCAATGATGGCCAGCGTGCACACTCGGTAGTATTTTCCGCACGCGGTGCCCAATTCAATGTTGTTCCCGCTATAATGATGGACGCCAGTCTTGGCAAGCATAGCGTAGTACTCGATCTCCGACTTTCTGAAATTCAAAAACTAGATGTTACAGTACTGACAAACAATTCTGACTGTCTGTCATACGGCAAGAGCAGCTTTAACTCCAACCACACCTAAACCTTACGCAGTTTTCCTTCCCACCCGCCACACATCTGTTCCTTGCCAGACAACATCTCTACGGCATTGTTGCTCAGGAACCCTTATCCAGAAGTATGCTGAAGGTATGTAGCAGCAAACCGGAGTGCAAATCCTTGAGGTTGCTCCTACGTATGCTCATTTCTACAGGAAAGAAGGGGATTCAGGACTTTCAGACTTCCAAAAGGTTGTAGAAGCTAAGCCAAAGTGCATAAATGATGACCATCATTAACACTGATACCCAGCGGCCAGATGCTGAAGACCAATCTGATTGCTGCTAGTTGTGAAAGTAACTGTGTATTTTTCTTTAAAAAAAAAAAGTGTCACTCTATGTTCCCTTCTCTTCTGACTTCCACCAAGAGATTCTAGTGGACAATTATATTCCTCAAGCACTTTTCCCATCTGCACTAACATGTTGCCTCCTGTAAGAGTCCTGCCATTTCTCAAGCATCTGATTTTGGCTTTCTGCCTTTACAGTTTATTGAATCTGTCGCTGTATCTTAACAGCAAAAATGACCCACAAATTCAACATGGAAGATATCAGCAAGTTAGTAAAGATGTCATTCTCAAAAATGCAATTTCACTGGCCAGGAACCTAAATTTATAACTTACCCGGATAGCAAATTCTGTGTGCCTCAAATATTTTAATTCAGTGTCAATTACCAGTTTTCCTACCTACAGAATTATTTTCCAATACACTACTTTGAGAAAACAGAGGAATTCAGCCCCATTACACTTTTAATGAACACTATCACAGTGTGAAAAGCTTCCAGTATATTTGCTAGGGCAAATTCTTAGAATTAGAAAGCTAGAAAAACACTGAGAAGCATTTCAACACATCCAGACCTAAAATCATAATACACTAAACAACACATCACTTATTTCATAGCACTCTAGAACGCGCCAGCAAAGTCCTCTGCATTAGCAATTCACTGTGGCAACTAACATGAAGTACACGCTGTATTTGTACAAAGAACCTGTCTTAGTTTTAAAGAGAATTGTTTTTCGTACATCTGCTTACCTCAAAGCAGGACAGTTGTTGGCTAGGATGACCAGCTTGGCTTTGCCCTGTCGAATCATTTTCAGAGTCTGCTTGTAGCCTAACACATATTTACCACTTTTCATAACCAGCTGAAGCCTAGAGTTTATGGACTCTAGGGACTTTTTCTGAAAAAAAGATGTAGAAGAGCATTATTATATGTTATTTTATATTTTGCAAAAGGGCAGAGATTATAAGAAAATTCCAAACACAAGCAATTTTCTAATAATTTCTCTCTAATTTGCAATGCGGAATAAGAAAAGCCAGCCTACCACGTAAGTATGAGAAAACTTGTGGATAAGGAGATTGCTGATACTATGTTTTCCCAACTTCGTAAAAATACCTCTTACGCATGTATCTTACAATAGGAAAATACATCTTAAAGCATTGTTGCTGCTATCCAAGTTAATCAACAATAGCCGGGTGCATTTGACAGGCCTTTATCAAAGCTCACCGAGTCAAGTCCGAATAAAAAACACTTCTGCCTTTCAGATCTAAGCCAGGTTTGGAGTACGTCTCTCCCCAGGGTGCACACTAATAGCCTTGCATCGGTTAGCAGAAAGAAGTAATCACATGCAATATGAGCTGACACTCCAACAATAGAGCGTGGTGCTCACGACAACAGGTAAGCGCATTTGCAAGGACGAACATCACCATCTAACAAGAAACCCGTAATTGCCAGAGCCGCTCCAAGAGAAAGCCAAGAACGCGGTGGAAAATGCAAAAGCTGAGCTCCACCCGTTCTCAGAACGCAGCACCAGCTCCCCCTTCTTCTAGCTAGCACAGGGGCCCTGTAAGCAGCCCGGGATAGCTCGCAAGGGGGGACCGAGGCCAGAGCAGCCGGCGGGAGGCGGCCGCAGGGCTGCGGGCACGGCCCGAGCTCCGAC